AGCAGCATCCAGACCCACACCCACACCTACATCCACACCCTTAGAATGAATCACCACAGTTCGTCTACATGATTAATAGTCAGTTTTGTAATGGGTGAGTGTGGGTGGGTGTGGGTGTGGGGTGTGGATGTGGGGTGTGGCTGTGGGCGTGTGGATGTGGGTGTGGGTTTTGATGAAAAGGACACCCATAGCCACACCCACCCACATCCACCCACACCCAGACCCACACCCTTCAAGCAAAAACTGTTCAGTGATCATCTCCTCTTTTGTTACGGTCATAGATAAGTCAGTGAATTTCGCATACTAGAAGTATTAGATGTAATTTTCTCTGCTGCAAAAAACAACACTAAAATCTTATGATGTTTGTCAGCCCCAACGTTTTCGTTCGGAATAATAACAACAGTCATTGTTCTGTTCTATAGAGGCCTTTTCATCTAATTGATTTAACTTTATATGAATTAGTTTTCTTTCACTTCAAAATCCACGACGTATACTCTAAAATTATAAAGATTTGGGGCTTCATATATCTTATCCTAATTAGTCATATTCTTTAGAATGGCCATTGGAATATACCATATATGTATTATTGTTAATAAATTTCAGAAAATATCAAATTTCAATAATTTTAAGAAACAATATTAAGCGAAGAGCGTTGAAACGATCTTTTCTCCTGTGATTTATAGTGACACGGGTAAATTTCGTTCAGTTGATATTTTTTCCCTTTAGATTTGTGCTCGAGCTTCCAGATATATCTATAAACTAACTTTCTTAATCAACCCATTTCGGCTTGGTGAATTCGACTGATTTTACTCTTTCGCCAATGTGGTGGATATACCTGAGAAAGAATAATAACAGCAAGACTAAAACTAACACCCATACTCATATATCACGTCCTACACACCCTAACAAGCAAATCATTATAAGTTATGTGATTGAAGGCTTTTTTCTTTTACTCTGTGGATAACAAGCTCAGTCACAATATTACTTGGTAAATAAGATTAATCCAATAAAAAAACCTTCTCCAGATGCTACAAATATCTATGATTACAATGGAGTCACCCGTTCAAATTAAGGAAAATTGACTGCACTACGGTACCATTTTTCAAAAGTTTTAAAAACTACACATGGTAGAAGCACGAAAATTTCTCACTTGATATTTCAGAAAATATTTTGTTGAAACCGCGCTTTTATGTGAAACACGATCTGAAAGGAGTGTTGAAGTGTTTAGGGGCAGAAATTTGCACCCACCCCCCCTCCCCCCACAGACCGTGACAGAGAAATTTCATACCCATCACAGACCGTGACAGAGGAACCAAATACCCATCACAAACCGTGACAGAGGAACCAAATACCCATCACAGACCGTGACAGAGGAACCAAATACGCATCACAGACCGTGACAGAGAAGCTCTGGACCCATCACAGACCGTGACAGAGAACCTCTGAACCCATCACAGACCGTGACAGAGGAACCAAATACCCATCACAGACCGTGACAGAGAAGCTCTGGACCCATCACAGACCATGACAGAGAACCTCTGGACCCATCACAGACCGTGACAGAGAACCTCTGAACCCATCACAGAGCGTGACAGAGGAACCAAATACCCACCACAGACCGTGACAGAGAACCTCTGGACCCATCACAGACCATGACAGACAACCTGTGGACCCATCACAGACCGTGACAGAGAACTCCAGACACCATCACAGACCATGACAGAGAACCATCGGACCCATCACAGACCATGACAGAGAAACCTCAATACCCATCATAGACCGTGACAGAAACCCTAGTATCCATCACAGACCGTGACAGAGAACCTCCGGATCCATCACAGACCGTGACAGAGAAACCTCAATACCCATCACAGACCGTGGCAGAGAAACCCTAGTATCCATCACAGACCGTAACAGAGAACCTCCGGACCCATCACAGACCGTGACAGAGAAACCCCAATACCCATCACAAACCGTGACAGAGAAACTGTAGTTTTGAAGCATCAAATAAATGGTAAGCTACAAATCTATCTTGAAGAAATGGAACAAAACGATGTCTATTTAATTAGTAACAATAGGTCCATCGTGTTTCACATTTTTAATCCCGCAAGGGATTGCGCTAACAGCTTTCAATGAAATGTCGATAGTTTTCGAAACGATATTTTGATGATTATAAGCGTACAATTAATAGAAGAGATGTGGTTTTCATTGATATATAATATTATATTAGAAGTCTACTTCAAGCTTGCAAATATAGAACAGTTTATAGGAAGCTAACATAAATTTATTGCATCAAAATAATTGTTTTTCAATAATACATCAAAACCAAAACCAAGACTATCGAAACTATATCAAAACCAAGAGTTTGGGTTTGGTGAATACCTAATCGGGTCTCAAAAAGAGATACGCCTCTGTATCTTATGATACCGCATTCAAATACTGTACGTAAAATCATTTAACAAAGAAAATTAACCCTTTATTCCAGTGAAATGCTGAGCAAATGATGTTTTTGTGGTACCCAATACCTTTAGTGCTACAAGGGAAGGACAAATGTTCATTTCGCAAGAACATATCAATAAAATCTACACAAAATTCTCTATCTTTTGACATCAGAACGAAACTTTCTCATCTAGTCTAACTTGAGAAAACAGTCTATCAAAAGCTGGCAATTTCTTCTGGTTCACCCCTTATTAAGAACCAGCCCTTCATCTTTTGTCACTTTTTCGGCAACTCCTCCTTTGCTTTCCTGATGACGTCATATGTGAACACCCTTTAATAGGATTGCTAACATTTACTAGTAACAAATCTCGTTTGAATAACTCAATATCTGCAATAAGTTGTTCATCAGCATTTAGTGAATCTTCATGTACAATAGCACGTAGTCTTGGATAATCGCTGATTTTAAAATCAACTTTGTCCGGTGCTTCTGAATAAATATAAATATAAACAATTTGTGGTAGATCATGAATTAATGGTAATATAAAACTAAATTAATCTGTGAGTGTGAGAAAAATTTTTCGCCATTCATACGAAGAAATAAAATCGATACATTGATCAGGATCATGAAATAATCTCTTTGCTGCATCTATATAGATGTTGCTATTGTTATCTCTTGATGTATAAAATTGTTGAAAATCTGCTTTGACATTAAATCGCTCATCTAGATGTATTTCTAGAAATGCTCCACCATACTCTATATCACTAAAATTATCTTCCGGTAAAGACATGATTCCTGTCGCTCGATATCGCTCCATGTTAATAAAATCAATGAAATCGTCAGTTGTTGTTGATTCTCTGTAAATGCTTAATAGTATGTGCTGATTATACCTTCAACTGAAAAAAAAAGACTTTTCGTTACTCTTACGAGCAAGAAGAACGTGAGAGAAAAAAATTCTTTTTCTCATGTATGCATGCACTCCATCACAAGGACATAAAACATAGAACTGAAAATGTTGTTTTCAATTAAACAAGTTTCGTTTTCATCTCTACAGTTTTATTTGCGATGGTAAAAAGTCAACAACAATCGAAACTTTTGTCTTTGACTATTTTGCGGGTATGGGTGTGGATGTGGGTGGGTGGGTAGGTGGGTATGAGTGTTTGTTTTCTCTTCAACTACGCCCACACCCACATCCTTTACGGTCGTTTCCGTACCGTACCGCTTCACCTGGGTGATGAAACAACCATTCATCCCCATGCTAAGCAAAAATACACGTGGCATTGACCGGTCAGTGAAAAGTTGTTCGAATAGTAAAATATCTTTTGAAAATTAACATTTCGAGCTGTTTATCATCAAAGAGATTTAGGCGAGTATCCTGTTTCTAGATCAAATTAAACAGTGAATTCCTTTGCCAGAAAATCTATCGAAAAGCTCTTTCTTCCGTTCACGCACACTTCGGACAATCTCAGTGCTTTTTACTCGAAGACAACGATCCTAAAGATCGATCAAACTATATCAATCGTTGAAAATCTACTCGATAAATTAAAACTCTACTCTGACCATCTTGGAGTCCTGATATCAATCTAACTGAAAACTTGTAGTTTCTGCTGAAGGTAGAAGTTGCTTGACGACAACCAACTACACATAGAGACTTAGTCGATGCTATAAACAACGAGTAGAGAGTGCTGTCACATGAATTGTCAATCAATCTTGTGAAGAGCATAAAAGTCGTATTCAAATAATGATTGTACTCTCCATTGAGGATGACTTGTAAACTTTTCTTCTTGTATAATGTATATGTTAAACTTACGAGAATTGAAAACAAGAATCATAAGTTTTTTTTCCTTTACAATACCTTGCGAAATAGCCGTTCAATACAGGTGTTTCTAGAGAAAAGTCAACTAGCATTAATTAGCTATGAAACAACTTAGAGATTAAACAAGACTTCTATCATATCGATTTTTTTCATAAAAACCGTGAATATTGATTGCCAAGTAAACCGGAGTAAAACCTATGTTTAAGTCATAATTCCATACTATCTCAGTCAATAGAGTTCAGATCAATGCCGGATATCACAGTTTTACAAGCTCTATCTTTGATAAAAACTTCATGAAAAATGGTTGAAAGTGAGAGGGAATATCATACATCCCGAACTTATGGCCAGTAGTGTGTTTCATTATACAATCTTTTACAGTTTCTCAATAAACACGAAACTACTATGATTACATATCGTAACAAAGTATTTCGACAAGACAATTTTTTCTGATACATTTTTGATAAATAATTCTAAGGCATATTTTAGAAGTATTATTCATAACCTATTTACCACTCTACAGATAATTTAGTTCGGATTAAATGATAAGTATATAGATCAACAAATTTGCGTAAAATTGCGCAAACAAGGATTTTTTGTTGTATAATTGAAACAGACTATGGCATATCTAATATACATAGTAAGTCCGATTTATTTCTTTAGCAAAATTTCTCCAGTTTATTTGATTAGAATAAAATTTAATTTTTAGCTGATTAAAAAATACAAAACATCTACTAAATGTAAAATATATTAGAAGACTTCGTCGAGTTTGTCATCAATTGTATTAAATAGATGATCTATCATTAAATCAACTTTAAATTCATCTTTCCAAAGTTTATTCGCTTGAATACATGTTTTATTCTTTGTATCATCTTTATTTATTGGCCACGGAGAATGATAGATGACATAGCCAACAATTCGAACACAATCGGCGACATAGTTTAATGGCTCTTGCATATGAGAATGCCACATGATGTCGATCTAGAAAAATCTGAATAAGTATAAATAATATCATTCTAATGTTGAATATTTTACCGCATATGTTGGACGTATGAATTCGTGACCATCTTTTAAAGGATATTTAGCTGCTATATACAAAAATCGTTCATATGATTTTTTTAGTCGATTGATTGCTCCAGGTTCCAGATCAATTCCACTTGACCAAGTACGATGATAGTCGTCAAGAGGAGCTGTTTTTAATGCTTTTGACATAAATTGTTTACATAAATCAAGCCATTTTCCATCCGTGATTAGGTTACCTTCAGTAAATGAAAAAGGATTTTCATAATCGTTGGGTTGTTCAGATGAGAATTCAAAATGAGTTTTATCCCAATAAGAATAAGTAGAATTAGTATTGGTGTCTATATATAACGGATAATGATGAAAGTTTGATGTAGCATTGTTTTTTGTATATGTTGATGGCAATGGGCAATACTGTTGACCAAATTGTTGTTCGTATAGTTGGCATGTGTCTCGAAATGCTTGATCTTTCAAAAACTTTTCAATATCAGTGATTAATAATGAGTGATCAATAACTCGACGAAACAAACGAAGACAATCTGCTTGATACATTGCTGGCCGTAAAAGATGTGTTTGCCAAACAATTTCAATATCCAAAGTTGGAACAAGTAAAATATTTGATGGATAAGATGCTTTCAGTTGCATAAATCTATAATATCTTGTTATCATATGTTTTACAATTGATGGTTGTTGCCATTGTCGTTGAAATTTCAACGCTTTTTCTAGTAATTTAATAAGTTCTCGAGCTGTTTTTTCAATGTCAACTGATAATTTAATAGTCCTAAAAATTAAGAGAATAAATTATCAAAGCTTTCTTGAGATCGTTCCTTCTAGTGCATAGGATATCTCTGTAACTTTCCACAAATGTTGAGCCTATAACAATAAACTTACAAAATGTTTTTTTACTTCTCTAAATCTCAACGTTTAGGAATTTTCTAAAAATTAAAACCTAAAAAGAAACTTTTATTCCATACAAATTGTTTTCACTATACTTCAAAGTAGAGAACTAAGATTTGTTTTATTTGAAAGACAACTGTTTTACCTTTGAGGATGAAGCGAAGGAATTTTTTTTATTGTTGTTCTCTTCAATTTTGAGGAATGTCAAAACGTCTGTGATTTGAAAAACACCATCATAGTTCAAGATGCATTGATTTATACGTCCAGAATGACACGTAACTAATAGAAGGTAATAATATCCATGGTTTCTTTCAGTTTATGAGCTAACTTTGTTTATGAGTATTAGCATAGAAAATTTCTGAAACTTTTAGTATTTCGTTTAGAAACCTTTGAAGGTTGAGATTTTTTAATGAATATTCAACATAGAGATCCTAAGCAACTTTCTTGTATACTTTTTTCCAAAAATAATCTTTTTTTGACGAAAAACGACTCGTCAGAGGAGAGACAACCTTAATCAATCTTATGTTTAAGATTAAACAATATAATTTTTCAACAAAAATACAACAGAAGCTAATTTTTACATAGATGATGATGAATTCGGATGTTGGTGAAATCCACCAATAGCTTCAAACTGTTGATTATCGGTTGGTCGAATAGGATATGAAGGTGGTAGATCTATGTCACATGCAGAATCGGACCAGTCACTCATCGCCCGTAGTTTTGCATTGCGTAAACATTTCATATAAATCCAATCGAGATAAATTTGTTTGAATGATTTTGAATATATTTTTTTCGATGCTATTTAACATGTTTACAAATATTATTAAGTGAGGAAAACATGTATTACTCACAATTGCATTTCAATTTCCAAATTTCATCTTGATCAACAATCATTTTAAATCGTCGGCAAACCAATGATACGTTACATAAATCTGGTACAGAAAATAATTTGAATATGCGTAACATGATTTCGCTTGGAATTCTAGCAAATACAGATTGTGTCAGAGCATTTTCTGTTTCATTAAATGACCATGTATGTTGCCAAGTTATATTAGGTGGACTAACTTTCGATTCGATTGGTTCAACATCGGAATAAGCTTTATTTTCTTCGAGACTTGATGTAAAATGTTCCATTGTATAATCTAAATCGGATGTACAAGAGCGCTTTTAGATGTAAATTTAAAATTGATTTTTCATGTTTTTATCTATACTAACAACGAATAATTTTATTTTATTAAATATAAGTTTTACTTAGATAAAAACCATAATACCAAGAGTGAAAAGGTTCAGAAAAAACCTAAGAATATATAACGAAATCATGTATAATTTAACTATGATTATGCCTTGTTATTACTTATATCTATGCGAAGGATATGTTGAAAATAGTAGAAAATATAAATAAATTTATGGTAAACTTCAATCTTTAAACAATTAATAATTTTTGTCTTGATAATAAAATTTCATGTGAAAATGAGTTGATCAAATATATTACGAATACTAAACGAAATAGAATAGTCTGGTTTATCTTTTCTCACGAACTTAGTGTTTTAGGCTAATAAAAAGTATTCGGTTTGCGAAAAAAAATACTTTTATGGTCGATTTTTTTGTAAAAAATATATAAAAATTCAAAAATAGTTAATCTGTATAGAAAAGATAATCTAATCAACAATACAAAATATTGTGAGTATCAAACAATAGTGAAAATCTTCTAAGAATATTATTAAATTTGTTTTTTTTTAAACTTTTTCCAATATATTAATTGATCAGTTTTGAAATCTACTAAAAACGATACTAATTATTTTACATCGAATAGAAAAAAATAAAAGATTTGCATAATCAATGTCTGATGAAAAACACTGCGAATAAAACTATTTGAAACACATACTTCTGTGTGCACAACGTTGTTTTTTTTGTTGATCTAATATGCAATATGATAAGAATATTTTTTCTTATTTTATAGACATAGTCAATGACGCATAATATGTTTCCTATTATATGAATCATCATTATTTACCTATGTGAACAAATGTATGTAGGTAATTATATGGGTGACTCGGTATATAGGAATCGAACAAGTATGTAATTTGATCGTGAGAATAAAGAGAAGATAAATTATTTTTATTAATCACTTTGTTACTGCTGATTTACCGTTCTTCTTTCCTATATTTTTTTCTATTGTGAGAACAACAAAGTAAAAGCATGATATTAGACCGACTAGAGTAAAACTAATATCGAAATTATAGTATGAAACGAAATTAAACATTCTTTATCTTATAAGAGATATCTTCTGTCATAACGCACTTATTTAGAAAAATCTATTTATAATAAGTTTTAAAAGAGAATGGGACATTCACTATTGGTGCAGCATTTATTTTATTGTGATCACAATGACAAACTGGAGAAGTAGCTTTACCTTTATTTTCAGTATATGACGTTTACTCTACTACTCTATCCTCCAATTGTGTTCATGTTACAAAGAGCATAGTATCATATAGAAGAAGATGAAGGAGAGATGAAAGAAAGAACAGGGTTAAGCATATACACAATACCGATAGTGGAGATTTAACCATATAGAAGATATAGTTCATGTTCATAGGATTGTTCGATGAGCGTCATATCACATAAGAAAGATATCATATAAGAATGGTAGACCCATCGACGCAGTGTCCTCAAACTGCCCTTGACAACTACATTGACTTAGTTGTCGAGTTTAATTATTAAATAAAGATAGTACCACATAAAATAATCATGGATCAAAATTGGAAAAGAGTTTATACAGTTTAAAAAGATTTCCAATAAAACTTAATTATATAAATATTTTCTATTCACGATTTTTATCGTTGAAAGACAATATGTCTATATGTTGCAGCTTACAAATTACAATATTTTTATTGCGTATCTTCACATCCAACTTCTCTCATCATCACCAATTGATAATGAATTTCTCTTACACAAAAAAAATCTTATCTCATATGGTTTCACATATGAAGCACGTATCAGAAGAAACAGAAACAGAAAAGAAAGAGACGCATAAAGAATGCATCATATACTTATACGATAACAAACAAACATGCAATGCAAAAATCACAGAAACGAAAAGACATAGGAGAATCGAGAGAGAAAACCATTCGAGATAGATCACAGCTTATACTCATGATACAAATATCAATTCATCAGAGCTGAACAACTAAATTCATAATAAAAATAAGTGACCTGTCGAGATTTATCATTAGATATCTAATTCAAATTATTATATAAATGTAATGAATGATGACTTGACAGTGATTTTAGAAAAATAATTTTTTTCTTCATTTATCACAGTTCAAACAGATGATCACTTTACTGTACAAGTAGGAATATGATAATAGTTGTTTTTCTTCATTAATCAATTATATTTCTAATTAATATTATCAATAATTGATATCTTTGTCAATTATCTCAACTAGGTTCAGATGAACAATTATGGTTTTCGATGTTTCTATATTGATAACGCCATCCTTTGTAATAATAGGCTTGTAATTATTAATTTGACTTAATAACAATTACTTTTATCCTTCGGTTTATCAATAGATTTTATTTGAAATCTGGTCCGCATTGAGAACAATATTTAATTTTTGATTTAAATATGATTGAAATCATTGGTAAAGACAAATGAAGTATTTCTTATGTTTCACAATGACTATTTCTATTTCAAATAGATTTCAATTGATGATTGTCAATAAACATTTATAGAATGAGAAATGTTCACTTTGTCATAAATAAAAAAAATCGTCTGTTACTATCGTTTGATCATGATAAAGAATAATTATATTTGATCTATTCAATATTAATAGATGTCATTGCACTTATTGTTCGTGTAAATCTTCAACAAAGAAACAAAATTTATATAGAATATTGAGATAAAATTATTCGATAATTGTGGGGAATATGTTGCTTTAATTGATGATAAATTGAATGACTAATAATGATTCAAATATAATAAAAAAATCTTAATGTATTTAAACATCTATTCTATAATTGATGCATTGATCAGGATTATAGAAAATCAAAATAAAAGGTAAAAATGATTTGCAGATGATTTAATATATGTCTATTTTGAAGGGATCATTGTAGAGGACTTCAGGTTTTGGAAAAATCATATTCTCGAATTTTGACCTGGAACTTTACGCATATAAAGACTTTAATTACGCTGGATTGTATAAAAAATTTCAGAAGTTTTGAACATAGTCTTGCTCAAATATGGAAATTTCAAGATAGAAGTCTTTTTCTATAGATAGTCTATACAATATGCATTTTTTGAAAGCTTCATATCTCGATAAGACTATGTACAAAATTATGGATTTTTCTGTGCAAGCTAGTGTAGTTGAGGTCTCTATATGCACAGAGTTTCAAGTGAAAATTTGAAAATATGATTTTTCCGAAACCTGATGTCTCCTACAGGAATCTCTTGAAAATAGACATATTAAAAATTTCATAACTTCTCTAAATCTCAATAGCAGACCAAATCCTATTAGAGTTTTTACTAGGACGCTATGTACCATCTATAGACAAAAACAATCATTGAAATCGAAAGAGATACCTCACGAGGTTTCCACATAAGCCATCATCTCTATTTTGAGAACTACTTTTTTTCTTTCTTTTATAACGTCGTATGATAGCAGTGCACCTTTTATCAGCTAGTGAAATGAAAAGAACAAATATTTATGCTTCAACTATCCAGAGAGTGGGTGTGGGTGTGAATGTGAGTGTCTTCTTTTCCAGTACACCCACACCCACATGCCAAAATGATATCACTCTCGTTTTTTCATTTACCATTAAAAAATGTTTTCATTGAACCAACATCAACAAATTCTTTAAAGTATTTTTATGTGAAATAATTAAATGAAATAGAAACTACAAAAAACTAATTTGAAATTTGATTGTTTCTCGTATCGTACGTAATATTGTCTGGATTTTCGATACTTGTTTTCTCAAAATTTGTTCGCCTTCAGATGTATTTCCCGACACTTCTAATGTTATTTTCTTCAATTGAGAACATATATTTACTAGACTTCTCCATTGATCATCATCCAGAAAGTGTTCAATATCGTATTTCTTGATAATAAAATGGATATGTCGAATGTTCGGTATGTTTATAAAATCAGTTCTTGTCAGAAAATAACATGGATTCAGATGTTGAAGAAATTTGTTCGTCGTCGATGTCCAAGAATAGTAATCAATATCGAGCAAGAAATATTCAATACCAATCGTTCCTGTAGACCTTTGGTTTGATTGGTATGTACTGTAATCAGTGCAAAATAATTCTGAACAATGAATTGCAAAATATTTGATTTGCTGCTGAAGTTGATTTTATATATTTGTTAATGGAATATAATCAACATGATTATCATAGTAAAGAGAAAGACGAGTCAAATGAGGGAAACGTCTTATATATCTACCGATTTCATAGTAATATAATGGATCATGAAGCGTTACTGAGATAACCTCCTTAAAGTTACACAAAAAGACTAATTCAGTCTTTGAGTACGAGTGAGTGTTATGAAGTTGTAATGAAAGAATTTGTTCAGAATCGATCTTTGAGAGAATCATTTGAATAAATGGATCACAAGGATAAGATAGTTGAAATTTTGATTGAGATTTGTTTAATAAAGGAAGAATATTAACTGAGAATGCAGAGATTGCATCATTTAATGAAAGATATCGGGCTATTTCAAGAATAATTTCCCAACAAAGGCCAGTTTTTTTAACGAAATCAAACGACTAAAACGAATATTTTTCGTAAAACAATAAACATAAGAAAAATGCTCACTATATTTTTTTCATGTTCAGTAAATTTTTCTTTGAAAACATCCAATTCATTTAATAGACTGTCACGGTTAACGGTCATTCGAGTACTTGTTAATGTATTAGCTTCAACCAATGATTTGAATTGATATTCGGATGTTATTGCTTCATTTGTTCTGTATTCAAATGTTCTCATAATTCCAATAAGCAAAGGACATTGTTCAATGGAGAACACATTAAAAAATTCAGTAGAAAACATTTCTTCCCACATTTTTTTCAACCTGAATTAAAAATTATTAGCATGACAATCCCTATGGAATTAAAATGTGAAACATAATGAAACTATTGAC